TCAGGCCGACGTCGCTTCAAGCGACTCGGAGTCCAGAGCCCGGACTCCTCTGACTCGGTCGGTGGACACCAACTCTGTCCGGTGTGTGTGCGGGTCTGCCACGTCAGCTGATCCCAACACCGAAGGTCGTCGCGCCGTATGTGCTTCGACAGTGGTGGTGCCGAAGGGCATTCACCAGGTGGGTAACATAGGTCCACATTGCGGGGAATAAGTTCCGCAAGCAGCGAAGCTGCTTAAGGAGACCGACATTCGGTGGGTAGCAAAGTTCCACGCAAGGTCACTCAGACCATAACTGATAAGGAAGTCGCTGTATGCGCTTCCGGTGTGGGTAACAGAGTTCCACACCCAAGGCGAGTAACATAGCGCCGCACACAGAGCCATTGGCTCGAGGCACGAGGTTGTCCTGGCCTCGCCAGACGTGAGCAACTCGCTCGACGTCAAGTCGCGCAGACTCAAACTGCTGACGCGAAGGCTGAATGCCTTCCGTCGACACGGCCGACGCGGTCGACCATACCGACGCAGTGCACATGGCGGAGAGCCGTTGCGCCTGCCAGTGGCTATTAGAAGCCACGAGAGACTCAGTAGTCTCGAGGTTGAGTGGGGGAGAGGCTCGGAAATACCTTTCCTCCCTGACTTTCCAAGAGGCAGGTAGCCGTCGTGCTGCCAGTGGCTATCACAAGCCACGAGAGACTCAATAGTCCCGAGTGTAAGTGGGGGAGAGGCTCGGAAATACCTTTCCTCCCTGGTCTTGAGGTAAGACCAAGTTCCTTACGGAACCAGGCGTCGATGTACATCGACTGCAGGCTGGAGGCGAGCAGCCGGGCTAGAGCTGCGGTAGCTCTAGCCGAACAAGACATAGTGGCGAAGAAAGCCACTGGCGCAAGTTGCCTCGGAATCGCGGAGCGAATCAGCAGTGTTGGGGTTGCAAGCAACCACACACGAGGCGAAGCGCGGGCCTAGTGCAATCAACGCACTGGTCCCTTGGTCATGAACGACCTGTCGAGTAGGGTGAACGGAACGTCTCACCCGCCGACAAAGCGGTTGCGGTACGTGATGTACGCAACGCGCTGGGTATAATGGGCCGTGGAGCCATTACCCAAGTGTGGTGCACGAGTGCACACACAACTGACCAGGTGGTGGTCGAGGCAAGGCACGCAGTCGTAACTGGTGCCGCACCGAGCATGACACCGTGGTGATGGCAGCTTGCCTCACCATGGGTTGGTACCCGTGAGTACTCGGGGTCAATGCCAGACACCAACGCCGCAGTGGCATGGTGGCGAGATATGCCCCACTACGGTCGAGTACTATCAAGGTACATGGTGTCTGTGACAGACACTGGTATAGGTGCAAAGGATATGCACCATACCACGACCCGATGCGCTCTGGACGCTGTGAGCCAACGCACGTACCGTGCATCGACACTGGCTGCTGTTGAGCAGCCTGCCAGGAGCTCCACGTAATGAACTCGTCGTGCATGACACACATAAAGTGCACGGAGCACTTATGGTAGCTGTGGTACGTGTCGTACACAGCGTACCTCGTGTACAGTCCCATGGACCTGTACACTGCGCTTGCACATGCGTCGTGCACGATGTGAGCACTGGCCATGAATCCGTTCAGGCGATAGCACAGCAGAAGCTGCTGCCGCCAAACATGGCAACCTTGTGGTGGGCGTACCGCACCAAAGGTTAGTACCGTACGGTACGTGGTGTCGATGGGAGACACCTACACCACGGTTGTGTACCGTCACGGTACACGGTGTCGATGAAGGACACCTACGCGCCGTTGGTATGTTGACCAAGACGCGAAGAGAGCGTGGCAGAAGCTCTGCCCGCAAGGATGGATCCTTGCTGGAGCCAAAGGCATGGCTCGAGGTGAGCGGAGAGCTCCCTCTAGTGCTGGGGAAGGTGTTGCCCTTCTCGGTGTCGTCCCTCGCGGGAGACACCATGCTCCGGACGCGTTTGCGAGGACTGTCGTGTCCTCTGGTGCGAACTGTGGGCGAATGCCACACGTTCGGATGCTATTGCACCCTGTGCCAAAGCACTGTGCGCGCGCTAGCGCAGGAGCTAATGCAGCTCTGAGTGTAGGCTTCGCGGCCAACACAGTTGTGAGCATAGGTATGCAAATCCCAGTGAGCTTTGGGAGAACAAGTCACTGTGGGTGTGACTGAGAGCCGCACCAGTCTCGTGGCTGCTCAGTGTGAGAATTCACCTTTTGGTGTTTTAATTCTCTCACTTCTGATTGGAGAATCAATTGTGATTGGAGAATCAGGTGATTCTCAGTTAAGTGCGGGAGGATGTAACGGGGTACAATCCAGTGTGCCCCATGCTACATAAAGAGTGACCCGTCACTCTTGTGGACACCTGGTACACGGTACCAGGTGCTCTCGAAGCCAGTCAGTGCATGACTACTTAGCTCCACTATAGGTAACCTCTAGTTTGTATAAGACCCAAGCTTATCTTACTTATAAATACATCAGTCTTAAATCTACTCTTCTAATTAGCAAACCGTTCCCTTTGAGGCCGGGAGCACGTGGACTAACGTTCATTCGGGTAGTTAATACCCTTAAGCACTTCCTCTGTGCAAGGTGCTGTGTGACCCCGTCACAACCTTGGTACTTTGTACCAATTCTTGAAGTATGACGTGTCACACTTCATGTAACCAGGGTACACTTAGGGCTACGTACCCCGTTACAGGCTGCCAGTCAACTCATGGAGCCGTCGGAGTCGTAGCCGTTTCGATGTAATCCAGCACCAGGGGACGCTTTTGTGCGCTGCGTGGCCGTGGTGTCATTTTTGTGCGTTTGGAGCCATGCGTTTGATGAAGGGGAGATTTTTTTGTGGTTCAGGAAACGGTGGCAACTGGTATACGGCACGTATACGCGATACCTAGTACGGATGAGTGCATACACAGAGAATAGGAAGATAGAGAACGATTTTCTGTGAGTAGGTCTGGCAGAGTAGTCACTCTCTAAAAATAATAAATCCTAAAAACAGCTTTTCAGAGGCTATCGTAAGAAAGCATACCGGAATTGAAAACGTGCTTTTTTTTGCTAGCGTACTTTACCTGCCAACCAGCCACTCATTCCCCCCCACTAGCCAAGATGAGCACCCACGACGAGACGGATGTGGCCGCGGCCGGCGTTAGCGTGCCTCCTAACGCCAAGTTCGACCTGACGAACCGTCTAGCGCCCTTTATGGACCTCCACTTCATGTTCCCGCTCATCGACTTCCTCTCAAGCAGCGAACTGTACGACGAGGCGCAGCTCATGGCTGCTAAACTGGCGCTGCTCAAGCCCACGAACATGGCGGACTTTGCCGTGGAGATTCACCAGACGGTGCACAATTCGGAAGAAGTGCCAGAGGAGTTCGAGACGCGTCGTGGCGAGATCCTGGACGCTCTGAGCTTCGCTAAGAGCGAGTGCAGCCCCATGTTGGAGCTCATCGAGGACGAGGAGAAGATTATGCAGTTACAGAGTGAGAACCTTCTCAACGCCAGCCACCTCGAGCAGAATGAGGGCGTACGTGCAGTACTACAGAACACAGGTGCTTACCACCTACAGGTTCTGACATTTAATATTGATATTGTTGCTTTGCTGCCAGATCACACCTGCTGTCCTGGATGGTCTGTACAAGTACGCCAAGCTGCAGTATGAGTGCGGAAACTACCAGGACTGCCTTACGTACCTCACGTACTACGGTGTGCTGATCCCAAATTCGTCCGAGCAGTTCCTGAACGCTCTGTGGGGAAAACTCGCTGCCGAGATCCTCATCTTTCGGTGGGACGACGCTCTGGCTGACATCTCCCGTATCAGCGACGTCATCGAGAGCAGCGTACGACTGCCCCCCTCCAATTTTATTTTTTCTGGTACTGACAGATACTGACTGACGTTTCTCTATATCGCCTATGACAGACGGTGATGAGCCCCGTGGAGCAGCTTCAGCAGCGTACGTGGCTTCTGCACTGGTCGCTATTCGTGTTTGCCTGGCATGAGGAAGGACGCGACGCCATCGTCGACTTCATGCTGCAGTCTCGCTGCGTGGAGGCCATTCAGAGCAACGCGCCGTGGCTGCTGCGTTATCTGTGCGCCGGTGTGATCCTGCACAAGCGTCGTCGTAATCTCATTAAGGATCTACTGCGAGTCCTCCGCGTGGACGACAAGGGCTACCGTGACCCGATTGTGGACTTTGTGGACTGTCTCTTCGTCAGCTTTGACTTTGAGTCTGCTCAGGAGAAACTGCGCGAGTGCGAAGTCGTGCTGGCCAGTGATTTCTTCCTGTACGAGAAAAATTCGACGGACTTCATGGAGGCCGCGCGTCTGGCCATATTTGAGATGTACTGCCGTGTGCACCGCACTATTGACATGAAGGTGCTGTCGTCCAAGCTGGCGATGCAGGAGGATGGGGAAGCTGAGAAGTGGATCGTCAACTTGATCCGCAATGCTCGTCTCGACGCTAAGATCGATTCTCAGGAAGGTCGTATCGTCATGGGAACGCCGCTGAACTCAGTTCACCGTCAGGTGATTGATAAGACCCGCGATCTCGCTGCGCGGACTTGCAGTATGGTGGCGCAGTTCGAGCGTATGGGCAAGCGAAAGACCTTCCAGTGATCTGTGAGACGGGACCTGGACTAGACACGCACAGACCGAGCCGAGCAACGCGGGATCCTGTTTCTCTCAGCAATAGGCAAGTGAAGGAGGGCGGCAACTTGAGGAAACGACGCAGGAAATGGAGCATGTGGGGCTGAGGGACTAAATATATAGTAGACCAGTGCGTGGGTTTATTTCGATCTGTTCAACTGCCGTGACCTTCTGAATATTTTTACTTACGCAGTCAGAGGATGACGTTGGTCGACGTGTGTCTGCCGATGCTCTTGATGGGATGAGGCTGGTCGTTACCGAAGTAGGTTTCGGATTCGACGGTGGTTTTTGCATCGCATCGCTCGATCCTGTTTGTTTGTGTTGAGACATCTGTCCAGTCACCAACTTTCCGCGGACTGCAATGGAGACCAGAAGAAGACAAGGTTTTGGCAGTGTGGAGGCAGTCTGGCAACGACCTCGAGTTCTTTATCTTCTCGGGGGAGGGTGGATCCTATTCGTGTGCTGGTTTGTGGCGTCACTTGCTGGTCTGGACAAGCACATCGTCAATCATAGACCTTTTCTCATCCGCAGTCGTGACGTTGCGTACTCGCAGCAGATTTTACTCAAAATGCCAGCAGCGGAACCTGCGCCGGCTTTTCAAGAATTTACGGTCGAAGTGAAGCCAAGTCAAGAGGCTCTGCCGATGAGCAAGGACTTTTACACGAGTAACTTCGGCAAGACCGATACATCGACCACCATCATCTTCAACGTGTTCAAGGGCAGACCCAAAGCTCTAGCAGTGCAACTATTGAAGGCTCTGACGCAAAAACACGTGTCACCGCCCGAAGTCTGGGTCATGTGCTTTAACTCGCCCATGGAAAAGAAGTATCGACACGTGATTGAAGCAGTCAAACGCAAATATCCTGATCTAGCGCACAATATCAAGTTTACAGTGTCCGATTTCAACTTCAAATTCCACGGACGCTTCTTGTTGGCCTACATGGCAACTACCAAATACGTGCTGATTGTCGATGATGACAAGGCGATCGATGGAGACACAGTCAACGACTATCTCAAATATATGAAGATCCAGAAGGGGGTGTGGGGAAATAATGGACACCGTCGAGCGTCGACGTTTGAGGGGTACAAGAGTTGGCCGCGAAATTTTTCGCGTGAGTCGTGGGCTGAGCAGGATTATCTCAGTGGAATGTGGTTCCTGGAGCAATCGTGGCTTGAGTATTTCATGAAGGAGCGTGTGCCGTCCTGGTCCACGTCAGAGGACATGCATCTTTCTCACGTTATGCGCAAGTATCTGAACCTGAACACGTATGCGGGTCGAGTGGCAATAGGGAAGACGCTTCCCCGCAAACCGAAGGAGGTTCAGGCAACACAAGGATCAGCACTGGACCTTCGTGAATATATCTTTGATCACGAGTTGGGACGTGGCAACAAGGTTGTCAGTGTCGCTTCGCCCATCCGGACACTCGTATACGCTGAAACTGTGAGTGATATCGATGACTATTTGGCGAAATTGGAAGCGTGTCCATCGAGTAATAACAGTATTCCGGTACGTATTGGAGATGCGAGTCGTACAGAAATTTCAGGGCCGTGGTGTGAGGGTGAGAAGACAGCTGCAGTTTTTCGTGGCGCTAAGGAGCAGGACGTTAACGGACTCGTCGCAGCTGCTGAGAAACTTTGTGCTATAACCAAGTGCGAGTACTATAGCGTCAAGCCCAATATTCGACACGGTATCCGGTATTTTAACATGCGTGAAGGCTACGGCCAAACCATGGAGATACCGTTTCAGACGGGAGCGTCGGACGTGATGCTGTCACTAGTGGGCATCCTGAACAATGTGTTGCCTGAGACTTTGTTCGTTCCGGATGTGGACTCGATGACGTGGCCAGAGACTGATGCTTCGAAACACAGCCGACTGCAGGTCTACCACCACACGGTGCTACTAGCTGTGGACATTCATCGGAACTCCAAGACAAATAGCAAGGTGATAGATGGTGAGGTGAAGGACGAGTGGCTTATTACCGACGATTTCCCATCAGGAATGCAGACCTTGATATGGCAGCGAGGTTCCACAGATGACCCTGTTCATTACTAGTCATAGCTTTTGACACTTCGAAGTACATATTTTTTGCCTTTTGTTTGCTGCGCATAGAATAAACACATGAGAGCCCGTCGGGTAAAAACATGGCAGTGTTTGGTTAAATCCTGACAGGGATTGAATTGTACTACGTAGTATTATGCAGTACATGTACAAACCGAGCGCCGCCGCTACTTTAGGTTTGGTTCTACTTGTTTTGGCCTTCTCACCTCCGCTACGTTTCGGTGGGATAAGTATTACAAAAAAACGCTAGGCCCCCTATGCGCCTCGATACTTTAATTTCATTAAGTAATCTGGGTCAGCATCATGCTTACCTGATTAAAAAAACTATTCAAATGATCCTGAATCAAGATTCTTACTACAACCTTTATTATTGTTGGTTATCACTGTATCTTCATCTTCCACCCAAAACCACTGCACTTCAAATAACATTTATACAAACGCTAGACAATATGTTCGTGCTCGATACCAAGGGCCGTTTCTGAGCCATAAAACTTAGCTCACATCAACGCAAAAGATAGTAATGGCGTGTTCGGCTTGCACTACTTACTCTGTTTAATCTTGTAAGTAACTAAAGATTGATACCAAACTCAATGAAACCAAAACAATATTCAAATTTGTACATTTTAATACATTGAGCGCTCATTTTGTGCTGATTCAAAATGAGTCATTAGACACTCTAATCTGTGCCAGTTATGATTCAATCATCTGGAGAATGCGTCGCAAGACGCCTTGCTGTTGTTATTGTTGACGGCGGTGATTTTTTATTTGATAGTGTAACGACGATTCCAGGATGGTTAAATGTCATTTAAGCTCCAAGTTTATTAACGTTTCTTTATGGGGTCTACTTAACCAACTATAATTTTCACATCTCGTGTTGTGTTGTTGTCTTACAGCCTCAATTAAATCGTATCCTACGCCCTTGTCAGTGGCACGTCCGCCCCTTAAGTAGTATCGAATTGTGCTGTTAAACAACTCTCAGAAACGATGGTTTACAGCAGTAATTGTCACCACATGTGAGTTCTTTTTGCTCAATCTTTATGGCTCAAAGCGACAACGTTTATTAGCACAACGTTGCTCTTACGGCTTCTTACGGCTAGATACTGTTGTAGCTCAGCCTGTTACCTCACATAAACCCACTCAGATAACTAAGTTATACTCAAAAATGTAGCTGTTACTTCAGTCGATGATTGTCATTGTAACTTGTCGGTGAACTCGGTCAGAAGCTATGAGTACAGCGTGTTGCATCTTTTAAACACCTTGCAGCATTGAAAGCAAAACCTCAGTTTCAGCACTCGAATATTAATAACAATATGCATTAATAAAATATTAAAGCGATGCCGCCTTTGGATAATGGATAGCCTTGTGCAAATCTATGGGAGAACACGTGGTTTATTGATGTAAGCTACACAATCCAGTTTTAACCAATTGAAGCCGCCTTTGCTTCGCTCGGCAGCCGATGAAAATGCTAAAAAATCTGAGCGTTTCGTGTGACGGACGGACGGACACCGTGCTAGCATTGATAGTTTAGGACTAGCCGGCCGCCGCCGCTACGGTGGAGTGGCATGGATTGTTGAAGATGAGATGGCTGCAAATTTAAGTGCTTCTTGGTGTCGCGCGCTTTGTGAGCATCGTTCACCACAGTAGGTCTTGGCTTCGTGTACTTAATCACTTACCATTCCGTAGTATCATGTGGACCTGTATAATATCGTGGTTTGGTCCGCAAATAAACACGATAACTTGGGCGGTGGTCAAGACGCTAAACCATGGTAGAATGTAGCCACTGGAGCTGTAGATACGAAGCCACCCACGAAGCCACCGAGCCACAGAACACGATACCAGTGTAGAACCTGAGCTTACCGAGCCACAGAGGGCAGTAGTACATGAAAACACGATTGCACGGACGGTGGACCAGCCACAAATTACACGGGGTGCTTGGGGTGACCACGATTGCACACCACGGAGCACGAATCCATTGTAGAACACGATATTATACGGAAAAACGCAGATAAACTACGCGAATACGATAGCGTTGGACAGCACAACCGTCCCGCGGTTGCATGATAGCGCGAGAACGCGGTCGATGGAGCCACACCATAAGGGTATCAGACTTCGAGACTGTAGCGGAAGGTATATTGGTTCATACAGTAATCAAGTTAAGTCTACCAAGTACGCGTGTCAGTCGCCGGAGCTTGTAGCTTGACCGGTCGATCGTCTTCACTCTCGCCCTCAACGCCCCCGCTATAGGAAGCGGTCAAGTCTAGCAAGGAAAAGAACAACACCCCGTAAAGGAATAACAACACCCCACGTCGATCAAGGTCGACAATCTACCTGGTGCGTAGCCTGAAGAATTTTTACGCTACGCCACCCCCAACCAACCTGCGTCCCGCCAAGACGGAGCCAACCCAAGCCAAGCTTCTCTTCAAGTCCACCAGAGAAGTGTAATCAGTCCCACCGACGAGCACACAAGGTGAGCCCTCAGCAACCCCACGGTTATCGGAGTACCCCCTCCATCAGTCGGTAGTCCGGGGCACGGTGTGTGAGATTGGATCGCAAGTTTTGCGAGAACCACTTCACCACACGATAGCTTGGACGGTGGCTCAACCACTAAACCATGGGAGAAAACGCAGTCACTGAAGTTTTAGACGGAAGATCGTCGATCCACAGAGCACGATACCAGTGTAGAACCAGAGCTCACCGGGCCACGGAGCGCGATAGCACGATTGCACGGACGACGGACCAGCCACGAAATTACGAGGGAACGCTTTGGGAGACCAGGATTGCATACCGCGGAGTACTATACCATTGTAGAGCACAATAGTACGGCCAACGCAGATACACTACGCGAGCATAATACCATTGACATCATTACCACACCGCGAATGCACGATAACGTGATAACGCGGTCGATGGAAGCTCATCGTGAGAGTACGATACACGGGCGACGGAACAACACGACTGCGTGGGGGCACCAAGCCATGGAATAGCCCCCTTCCGCTAGAGTACCGGTGATGAGAGGCCAACGGCCACGAAAGACTATGTACCACGAAACCGGTGCAGCCCACGTAAACATTTGAGAACAGGGAACAGTTAGCAGCCCCGAAAGAGGCCGTACTAAAGAGCATGAACCCAAAAGAGAGAGCGCGTAACCACTAAGCAGCTTGGACCACGGGTGAGCAGGGAACCACGACGTCAAGAATAGCACGGGAGAGCGCGGGCCATTGACAAACATGGCATTCAACCTGTAGTACGGGGTAACGGAAGCTGGTCTGCCGTCCGTTCAATCATGAGCTACCGTTGTATCGTGCTCCGTGGCTCGGTGACCTCCGGTTCCACCCATGTATCGTACTCCAATGATCAGTGATTTTCCGCTAATGCTCTCCCGCGGCTTCGTGTTCGGTTCGTCGACCGTGCTTTGTGCTCTACCGTGGCGCTATGGGAGAATTGATGTCCATGCACTCTTACCGCTACGTGCTCTACTGTGGTTTCGAGCGTGCGTGCTCTTCCGTAGCCGTGCTTTTCAGCATGCTGGAGTGTCTATATATTTAGTTCCCTTCCGTGACCCGTATGCTCCCGTCATATTCTTGCCCTTCTGTCCTTTTCATGGCTGCGTGCTCTTCCGTCCTTCACGCTACGCATAAAACTTCGTGGTTTGCATCGGCTAAGCCTTCTATCATCCTCCATGGCCTTCCGTTCTTCGTGTTGCTCTTCTCTCCCATCGTGTACATAGTGTTGGTCGGTGTTCCTTCGTGTTTCGTGTTCTTGCTTGGTCACGTGCCTCCGCGCTAACATAAACACAATAGTTGTTCCCATTTTGCTTGATGTACACTACATATATTGTTGGAAAGTTCGCGCAATACCTTTAGGTCGCACACTACGCGCGCAAATACAAAGGAAGGTGATACTTTTTCCGGAGACAGTGTGGGGTGCAGGGGGGTGTCGGGTGGGAAGCCACAATAGTCATATTTTTTAGTATTCACATTATAATAATAGTAAGAAATAGTGATTTATTATCGAACGCTGGTATATTAATTTTGTGTACTACTACTACAAGAAAAATATGACATGGCTTTAGAATAGTACTACGCAAAACAGTATTGTAAGTTTTTTATAAGAAAAGTATTATGAAGCCAAAAACATCATTCTATAACCTATAAGTACTAAAGTTTTGATTGAGGCCGAAATATGAGTCACCAAAGCCTACAATTTTTTCTAACAGCTCCTACGATGATATTATACGTGGATCACATTGGCGCCTTCTACCAATGCTAACTAACGCGCACACAGGGAGCGCCCTTTGCGTCGAGAGGAGCTCCGCGGGAGCAAAATGAAATTGAACGATGCTTTTAAGCACGATGTGTAGACCACATACAGTGTGCTCACTACATTATGTCGATTTTAGCCAATTGAGGCCGCCTTCGCTGCGCTCGGCAGCCAGTAGAATGCGCGTATTTGCGTTACATTTATTAGCCCTATTTATGGCTAAAAGTGCAATTTTTGCATAGTCAAGCCGAGTAACAAGAATCGGTGCAGTCGAACCGGAGCCTCGGCAGCTGGAGCTGAAGCCGGACCCTGCGAATCGTCGGTACCAGCTTCAACCGGAGGAGCAGCAGGAGCATTTTCCGCGGATTCAGCGACGACGGGGAGTGCTGCAGGAGCTACCGCAGGGAGTGAAGAGTCCGGGGCAGCAGGCGCCGGAGGACCGGTTGATGACGCTGCTGTCGGGGGAAGTGCAGGGCGTTCGAGCCCTCGGTCTTGCCCTCCTGAGAAACAAGTCGAGTAATGCGAGGTGATGAGCAAGGTACCGATGATTCAAGAGAAGGATGAGCTGACGTACCACCAGCTGTTCACGTTCGCGACGTCTACGGGGCTTGAGACGCTGAAATGCGTCGGACACGGCTCGATTCAGACGCTTGGACATACGGTGGCGAGATGGTGAATTGAAGAATGAAGAAATGTCACAACGGGCACCAGTACCGTGGCTTCCATTGCGACAG